CCAACTACCTGCTTACTATCAATTTCTGCCCCTTAAATCAAGTGACCACTATTGTCAAATATCTAGATATCTATATCTAGAGCCTACATTAGGCTATATTCAACATATAGCCTCTACCATCTAGCCAGACTACCATTCGTTGACTTGTGATTTATTTGTTTCCTACCACCTGCTTACCTATCTTTTATTTCCTACTTTTCCCCACTAGGTTGAGCTTATATAAACTCCCTAACCAATCAGCCCTACCAATTGGCCTCGGGCCATCTACCAATCAGCCCCTCTTAGATGGATACCACAGATGACTGGACTATAGCCTAACCAATTTCTGCATGTATTTAGTCACTCGCTACTAAGTCCTATTGCTTAGGTAATAGGCAGACCGTGCATAGTCTTTGACTGAAAAACGGTCTCTAAAATGGAAGAGTAATAATAATAATAATAAGCTTTTAGACCTTAAAAAAGGCTTTAATAATGGCTTTTATACTAATCTATTACTAAATAGACTACCCTATATAACTAGAAATAGATACTTTAGATAAGGTAGTAATAAGTAATTTTTTATAATAAGCAGAAGGGGAATAGCATCTAGTTTTATATTTTTTAAAAAAATAATAGCTCCTATAGAAATTAATTATAAGATCTATAATAAAGAGATACTAGTAATGATTTAAAGTCTTAAAAAGTAAAAGGCTAAATTAAAAAGACTATAATAGGATAAACCCTTTAATATTTTAATAGATTATTAAGCCTTAGAATACTTTATAATAATAAAGAGGCTAAATACTTAATAAGTATAATAGGTAAAGTTTTTATCTTCATTCTACTTCATTATCTAATATTAACCCAAGAAATAGAATACTCTAGCTAATACTCTAATTTAATATAAAGATAGTATAAACTAGCAGAATTATAATAAAAGGGATTATTAAATATAGATTCTCTTTAAACCTAAATAGTTAAAGCAGAGGGTACTCCTAACTAAATTATAAGAATCTACCCTTACTCTTATTATTAACTAACTATTATATATTATTAATTAGGTTCTTTATAAAAATTATAGCTTGAAGTCCCTAAAGATACTATAATAGAAAGTAGACTCTAAAAAGGAGGGATAGTCTTTAAAGGATAGACTCTTACTTTATTATAACTAGTTATCCTAGATATAAGAGACTTATATAATTCTATAAATATCTTACCTTTTTAGTAGACTAGTTATAAATTACAGGTATTATTTAACTAGAAACTAGCCTTATCTTTATAAAGATTAAAATTTAAGTATTAATAGGCCTCTGACTAGATATATTATATCAAGAAAATCTAAAAATTAGTTTATACTAGTATAAAATAGGCCTAATATTATTAAAAGCCATGGTCACTAAATCAGCCTCTAACCTATCCCTAGTGATTACTACCATGGAGGATTTCTCAGCCTCTTACCTAGTTGAGAAAAAATCCATCTGGGAGTCATACATACCCTTTTCAAACCACATGTATGACAAGGAATGGGCCAGATTAGTGGTCCACCTAGTTCCTACTAGCCCATTCAATCACCCTGAGGGGCTAGAAATGCTTAGGGATGAAATTGAGACCTTCAACCCCTACATGAAGCTAATGAGACTCCCCCAATGGCTAGCAGATGAGCCTACTAGGCACCAAAAAGCTCATTCTTCTATAGTCATCCACCTAGAGAACGAAGCTATGGCCACTAGAGCCTTAAAAGGGGGGGTAAGGATTGCAGGGGTTGCTTGTAGGGCTGCTACCTATTGTGACGGCGCTGATACTCGGGATCATGTGAGCGGTGTGGTAGGCGGTGAAGGAATGGACCGGCAGAATACCAGGCCTATGACCCCCTCTTGGGGCCTCATCTCCTGGCTTCTTCTTTTTCCCCCTAACCTAGTCTTCTAGTATTGAACCGCTCCATACCTTCAGGATAGATCTACTAGGGAATGAATTTGGGTT